TCGGTATAGGATCATCGGGGGTGTTTTGGAGACCAATTCCTATATCATGGAATTCGCGATTGAACGACGAATGGGCGACGAACTCGAATAAAAAACAAAACCAAGTTTGCCAATTTGAAAAAGTTCTATGAGCGTTTACACCCACACATACGCGCGTAGATAGCATCATATCGCATTAGTCGAATAATAAAACGATAGAACGATATTTTATTGATTGTATCATTATGTCGTAACAAATACATGATGACGCTTCGATTAATTACAAAGCTCTCGACGTTTTTCGGAAAATTAGTAGAATGCAAAAACTTGATAATTGCAAAAAATTATCTTTGCATTGAAAATGATTAATATCGTTATATTATGGTAGATACTACGTCTTGCATTTAGAGATTAAATATAAATTTCTCCTTGTCTTCTAATTAAAATATATACTTATTTTATATAGATTATTTTTTTTCTATAGTCATAGTACATTGTTATCTTACTTCCTTCTAAGATATACAATTACATGCTAATAAGGAACAAATTGAGAATTCTAAGAATTGTGTGAATTCCTCCAGCTGTTCATTAGCATTTCAAAACAATCCGTATCTCAAAATGAGAAAGCAGTAATTAATTATCACGGCAGTGATATACACGTATATTAGTATATAATGTAATAGTCTGATGTAATAAATAATAGCTACATTTCTCATCATCTACTTAATATGGTTGCTCGAAGAAGAGAAAGCCTCAAGTAGGGGGGGAATAGAAATCTTTAATAAAACAATTGGAACAATCTTAACAATATAATTCCGATGTATGCATTTTTATACAGGGTGGATCACGGGAAACGAACACATTATTAAGTTTCCAAATTTCCAAATTGATTTTCTTTAAAACAAAACCTCATACAAAATATTAACTCTATGTTTTCAATTCGTTTAATATTAAAGTCTCCTATTATTACCAAGTTTCTCGATTCATTCTGTGCAGGTATAATCTAAGTCTACAACATTTTATTCGCGCAAAAGATAATACTACTTCAATTATGTCAGCATAATCTAATAAAAATGTGTGCTATCACTTGATGAATAAATGTCGTTTTTTGAACTAAAACTGAGAAGGAGAGAATAAAATAGCAGAGTGTGAAAAATGATGGACTCTATGGACAGATGAAATTAGACACTGTCGACATGCTCATCGTGCTTCAATTAAGTCAGGAGGAACAATCGCGAGCGACTGTTCCTATTTATTTTCCATCAATTATATCGAGCGCGTGCCAATTATGCAAACGGACGTGTAATCTCGTTTGCTCGCAGTTAGTAACGAAAGTGAAAAAACAAACTATCTTCTATATATATTTTATTTAAAGTCGCTTTCGCGAATGTGAAAATATAGGCATTTTATATCGCAGTAAACATGATAAAAAATTTAAATTCTCAGAATTATGAAATTTTAATTACTTATTTTTATTATTATTTTTCTGCGATAGTAATAATTATATATTCAAAAAATAGATAAACGCGCGCGCGCGTGTGTGTGTGTGTGTGTATGTGTGTCATTTATAAAAATATTGAAGAATTGCGAGTTGCTGCTGAAGCGATCAGGTACAAATCAAATATCGCCGATAGAAAGGCTGTTTATTCTAATTATTGCATGGAATATCCGTAACGTATCCAATACAAGAGAAAAACTGGAACGAAGATTTAGCGAGCAAATAATCAACTGGGAGCAAGATGCGCCCCGGATTTAGGAATTGATTTTAATTGCGCAAACACACACACACACACACACACACACGCACACATCGTCGGGATCTTGCTTTCGCGCGCATTTACGGTCTATACCGCGCAAAAAATATGAGTCGATATAATTTTATAATTCAAAATCGCGATTTAGTACATCTCCTCTTTTCATTTCCGATTGAATTATTATATCTATTAAATTAACAAAAGCGTAAATTTGAAAAATGTTAAGCTTTTAATTTCTCCTTCTTTCCACTTGTAGAAAATAATACGACAATAGAGAGAGAAAGATTCTTATAATGCAATTGTTTTTATTGTGCATATTCCAGGCGAGATAAAAATAAATGAGTACCTTAAGTGCAAGAGCAGAAATATCTTTTTACAATCTCGCGCGGCGACTTTCGCGAAACTTTACGGCGACTTTCTAGAAAAGTGCTGCAAAAAATTGCGCCATTATTATGATTTTTGCGATAAGAGGCGAGTGTCTTCGAAAACGATACAGATTGTACGGTTTTCATAAAAGCTTTAAAAATTGCGACATTTACCTACTTTTTCGAGCGAGAATTCGGGTTGTAACGGGTGAGACTGCAAAAATCAAATAACGAAAAATCGAGCAACAAGAAAAGAAATTGATCAAACCAACAGGCTATAGATGGATGAGGCGAAACAAACTCCAGTGTATTATCAATGAAAGGAAAGTTTGCATGCTTCTACGCAACGCAGGCAATAAGGGGAAATTTTAAGGGTTCTCGAGCTTAAGTTGAACATATACGAAGAGTACCAATAAGAAACTTCCTCCCCGAGTAGCAGCAATTGTGTATACTGAATCAATCAGCGCGTTTGATATTTCGCATTATTGAAGAGCATAGAAACCGATCAATTTCGGTTACTTCAATCCTTGATGCTGTAAATTAGAATTTTTCGAACAATGTTTCGCGGAATATTTTTTTTTGGCGTTCCGCAAAATTTACTCCAAAAATTACATTTTTTTAGCCTTTATTTCAATTAATTAAATAATTATTAAATTAATAATTAATAATTAACTCTTTTTGCTTGTTTCATGTACAAAAGCATCCCGTCTTTTAGAAAATTAATAACCTGTGTTTGTAGAATTGAAAATTGAATTAATTAAACCGTTTAGTTTTATATCTCATTATGAGTGATAATACAAAAGTCTGCGAGAGAGAGGAAGAAGATAATCTTTGGCAGATTTATTCTGCCAAAGATAAAACGGCGGAACGGCAATTACTCAAAGTTGGAGTGAAAAGCGCGAGAAAGGTTCTCCGAACTTTCTCCACGGCACGTTTGCCCTTATTGAAATTTAGCTCACAACTTAATTCGCGCGCCTGATACTCTCAGCACCACACAGGCATAGACGAGAGGCAAGAGGCGAAAAGTGAGAGAAGCTGAGAGAAGGAGCAGATACGATGGCGTCCGACGTAAATACAGAAAGTGCCACATGGAGAACAAGTTATACTAGTCTAGGACAAAACACGCGACTGTCATAAATTTCTTCGGGCCCGTCTCCCTCTCCTTCACTCATCCTATCCGCCCAGCTTCGCTAATGAAACGCAGCGACGACTAATGAGGCTAACGAGGGAATTTCCTTGCCAAGGTTTACTACGTTATCCCCTGTTACGGTCTTCGCGAGAAAATATCCTACAACTTACTCACTGCACACGCAGCATATAAAGATCGTCGCGTTGTAATGGCTCAGGATAGTGCCACCTAATTTTGCGTTGCTGCTTATTAAAATGTATCCTTCAGATGCGTGCGCGCGACAAAGTTCCTCGTGCGGTGAGCACGATGAATCTTACTAACCCATAACGAGTAACCGAATGATCCTTAAGACGCGTTTACAGAAACACTACAGAGGACGCGTAAAAATTAATTTCCAACGCCGGAAAATCGGTATCCGTCTCCTGTTACCCGACACACGTCCTTGCGCGCGAGTTCGAAATTCATGCTTTCTCCAAATTCAAAAAAAATGCGAATAATTTCTCCGATGCATGTCAGTTTTGAACGTGCGGTGCCATTTCCCGGAAGAAATGACAAATTTCGCCATCTCCCTCTGGCGCGTGCGATGGACGTGAACGCGCACTTCGCTGTAAAATGTTTTCCATCAACGACTTTTAAGTAAGGCGTCCTTCCCGAGCGAGCGTGGTTGCGACAAGAGGGATGCGCTTACGCAAGATAGATTCTTGGTCTTGGTCTAATTCTTGGTCTTGGTCTCGGTCTCGGTCTTGGTCTCGGTCTCGGGAGCGCAGCAAAGAGGAAAAAATTCGCAAAGCTCGGCGCGAGGTAAGAAAGGAAAGGCGACTCGGCGGCGCCGATCGACACGTGCTACATGCGTGGATCTGAGAACGATCTGGAGATTAAATGCTACATTCCTGTAAAATTTCAGTTTAAATTCCGATTTAACAATAAATTCGGAGATAGGGACTATTCCCTCTAAATTACCCATGTATGTTCTTCTAATGACTAGTCCAAATCAGACAAAACCAGATTGATAACGTTTCTGCGTTTAAAAAATCTTCAATGCTGTTAGGTTTTGATCTCTCCTTTCACACGTTTCTTCGATTTTGTCGAAGATAAAGTCTCAAACCTTTCGAATATTGGAAGAATGCTCTTTTTTTAACAGTAAATTATCAAAATATTTCTATTATAGAAATTAAGAAAGTTTGTCATAAACAACTTGATCTTTTTCAATAGAGGTGAAAAAAATCAATATCTAATGTTATTTTTTTAGATCCGAGCGCGAAGAGAAAATAGATGGATCGAAATAAATTTATTCTCTGGCTATGTAAATAATTGTGATATTCGCGGATAATCAAATGAAGGATTGATCACACAAAATATGTAGGGCATTACACTTCTCTCGATGAACCTTTACATCGATTGCGCATGTTAGGTTGTAGTCACCTTTCCGGACGACCTCGTTTCGATGCGTGACAGCAAGAAGAGGTGGATGACCACGTGTAAATAATCTTAAACTGTCACGCGCATATGCTCCAAATCGAAATCTGTGTATCTCGCGCCTTGCCATATACAGTTGCCGATATGCGCTGCTATCAATAAGACGGAGATTGATGCGTTAGAAATTTCTAGAGATCAATCACACAGAGACATCGCCCAAACCTACTTGTATAGCCCGATTGCATCATCGTAATAAAACTGAAAGCTGTCAAAAATTTTGGCAGTATTTCGATAGGAATATTTTTATATTTATGCAAATTGTTTTATTTCTTTGATAGTACACGATGTGAATTATATTCTAATGAGGTTACACAATTTTAAGATTAATTGACATGTGTTTGAAATAAATACGGCTTACGAAATCTCCTCCTCAAAAGAATACTTGTACAAAAAGGAATATATAATTTTATATCTTTCGAGAATAATGAAAAAATAGAGTAGAAATACATTTCTTTTTATATAACACAGCTTCGCGAGAATTAAATCATGCTTTGTGTAAAAAAAGAACACATGATATCTTAACCAGTTCACTGGTGGACCCGAAATCAACGTTTTGTGCCAAAACTGGTAAGAGTAAATAATTTCGTATTAGTCATCGACCCAAAAAACATGGGTGTATCAAGTTTAATGCAAATCCGTTAAAAATTGGCGGAGTTATTCATGATGCCCATATATGAGTCATTACCAGTAAACTGGTTAAAGAATTTATTTACCAAACCGGTCTGTCTGGACGCATTACTACTGAGACATACCGGTTTGTCTCGTTCTTGACGATACTTTTTTTATTTATTTATTATCTTTTATTTATTTATTTTTAATTTCTAACTTGTATATATTACGAACCGATTAGGAATTTGCGATTTAATTTAAACCCGTGCGCTGAAGATGGCTCAAAAAAGAGCCGAAACGTCCGCTATCCACATATGTATATTTTGCATTGATGTTTTTTAAAATAAACTTGTGTGCGCCCAAATAACTGCGCTTGGCTCGTATTGCCAATTTTCATTCTTATTAGATTGTTATCTATAGAGCCTTACACTTTATTTTAAATTTAAATTTATAATAAACAATATATATAGCACTTAAAAACACATGTTTCTTCACATTTTATTAAGTTGGTGAAATTTCATAATAGTTTCTGGCAAATAATTTAATCTCAAGAATAAATCTTGAAAATCATGATACGTTCAAATCAACGATAATAATAGTGAGATAATGATCGGATGAATATATAAATGACAGTGAAAGAGAAAGAAGGGAAAATACGTAAAAAAGCGAAAATTCAATGAACGTTCCCTTTCGAGATAGTTATTTGAAAGTTGGCCTCGAATAATACACAAAATTCTTCTTATTGCACGAGAATAATATTTAATGAGCTCGCGCAAGAGTTAGAACAGGTGGCTTGAAAATCTTGATTGTAAAATGAGATCAAAGTCAAAAATTTCCGCGATGATTCAGACAAATTCATTCGTCATAACAAAACATAAATGATGTGCAGAAGTACATATTAATTTTTAAAATAATCTCATGCACATTTTTCACATACGTATATCTATATTACCTCATTACCTACACCATAATACATAAGAAATATTAAAAAACATAATTGAAATAATTAAAAATTTTTGCTATACACTACGCTTATCTCACAAAGAAAATAAATATATTGTATTCTAGAAGAAAACAAGCATGCATTAGATAAATATAAAAATCTAATATAGATGTATAAATAATGTAATACGTGTTGTTTCAATTTTCATCTTTTTGCATAGAGTTCTCAGATTCAAGATTTCCATTTTTTGTCACTTTTGAGAGCTCATTACACGATACGCATTATTTTTTTACTCCATTTCTATATTTTTGTATTTAACTATTGCACTTCTGATTTAAATTTTTATTGATTTTTCAAACGGAATTTGTGATTTTTCGAAGGAATTTGATTAAAATTTTATTCAATTCCAGAATTCTTTTCTATGTGGATGTAGGATATGTATTATTGTCTCTACGCTGAACATTCAACCAGAATCCACCTTCCGGCTTCATTAACAGATCTTTCTTGCTAAATCTTAACGGTATTGTGGTTTTCGCGCACGGTTTCAGTTCGTATCTCGCTAACAGATGAAACAGCAAGAGCTTGATTTTCAGTATAGCGAACCTATTGCCTAGGCACATCCTTGGTCCTAATCCAAAAGACATGTAGCGAAACGAGTTGTGATACGTCTTATTGTTCAAAAATCTTTCTGGATAAAATCTATCCGGATCTTCGTAGTACTTCTCATCACGATGGATCGCGAAAACTGGGATCCAGCAAATCGTGCCCTTCTTCATAACAAAGGGCTTCTCGCCCGGCAATGCAGGTGGTAATTCATAACTTTTGTCGCATACTCTTTCCAAGAAAGTCGGTGGATAAAATCTGAGAACTTCGTTTACGACCGCATCTAGATATTCGAGATGATTAATAGTTTCATAGGTCACTTCTCCGGAATTCGATTCTTTCAGAATTTTGTCAATCTCTCGTCGCAGTCTAATCTGAACTTCCGGGTTAACCGCGATTTCATAAGCTGCGAAAGATAACGTAGTTGAGATGGTCTCAAAACCGCCAAGGAAAAAGAAGAATATTTGCGCGGCTATTTCGTCGATATTCAACTTTCTTCGACCCTCTTTGTCCCTGATGTTCATCATTAATTGTATCATATCCGAATGTACAACATGTTCGACATCACGTGTGGCGAGTGTGACTCTTATAATGTTTTTGAAAAAGTTCGACACACGTTTGTTTATTAACTTTAAATTGAGAATTCGCCAGAGTCTGGGAAAGGTTCGAAAAAAAACAAGCTTTGCGATGTTAGTCTCTGAGATGTTTTTGCCGTAAATATAGAACTTGTTTGTCGAATCCTTCATAGAATCAACTTTGATTCCGTAAACGCATATGGCGATGACGTCGTTCGTATATTTCGCGAAGAGGTCTTTCATATCAACACCGTTATTATTCGTTGGTAAAGTTGATAGAGATTTAGTAAAATTCACAGCACATTCTGACATCAATGCAAACATGGTCTTTATCTTACCGGACGTAAAGCAGAAACTCAACAGATTTCTCATGTTCCGCCACTTTTCTCCGTGAAGGGAAAATAGATTCTGCGTAACCAAGAATTCATCCGAATCGATAAAACTGGGACGATCGGGAAACGCCTCGAAATTTTTAACAAGAACGGCTTTAATAAGTTCCAAATCGCGAAGCAAAATGACCGGATTTGTTGTAGCGTAAAATCCATAGTATTTTGCATTCGGATTGAAATTATATATCTTACGGATAAAATCGGCAAATGATATTCGACGAAATATGACCGGCACCATGGCGCCCAATATTGGAACAGGCGGTATGTAGATGACACCGCGTCTTTGAAAGAAATTGTAATTTCTGCAGAGATAATGGATAGCTCCAAGAGTTCCGATCGTCGTCGACAACAGTATCCACCAGTATTCCATATTCACTCAAATATTATTTGAATATTTAATCTTATTTGGAATTTGTTCACGAACCAGTAAACGAATGTAAAACTTGATACGATTTAGTACGCACGTAGTCTTCAACTCGAGATGCTATGGATTACTGCATCGACATCGATAGTATGGACTACGAAATCCCTAAATCAGTGCTCGGAGATAGTTGCCCTTCTCGGGATCTCGGGCCGATTCCGTGGCTCACGCCTATTGCCTCCCACTCACCGCTCGTGCGTTAGCGACGAGTCGCCAGATACGCGTAACTAAGGAGCGCGACGTTTTGTCTCAGGAGCGTCCGTATATAAGAATGCCCAAATATAATAATAAGACAATACTTTTCTATAAATAAAAGTTTTTCTTCAATATTTTATATCAATGAAATATAAAATATTGAAGAAAAACTTTTAATTTTGAAAATTTTCGCCGTGCATTTAGAAAAGTATTGTCTTACTATTATATTTGGACATTCTTATATACGGACGCTCCTGAGACAAAACGTCGCGCTCCTTAGTTACGCGTATCTGGCGACTCGTCGCTAACGCACGAGCGGTGAGTGGAGGGCAATAGGCGTGAGCCACGGAATCGGCCCGAAAAGGGCAACTATCTCCGAGCACTGCCCCAGTTTATTCCCCCGAACCGCCTTCTTCCCCGAGATCATTCTCGTCATTATCCACAGTCCTCTTAAATAATCCACCCCCTTTTTCTCCGCAATTTTCGGAATCAGACGATTTCGAAAAAGCCATTCAGGAGTTCTGCAAAGAACTACTTGATTTAGAATCACCTTCGTCCTATCAAGACTAAATTGAACTAAATTCAAATCTCCTTTCACTCTCTCTCCATGATCCTTACTTCCTACCTCACTCACACACGCACACATTGTTTTTTTTTTATTATTAAGTAAATCATATTGTATTAATCAGTCAGAACATAAATGTTAACGATAAAATCTTTCCCTTGTATTCTGACTGATGACCTCCGTATCAATGTAACACCCGCGAACTAACACACACACTCACACACATTCAGACTGACTGATTAATACAATATGATTTACTTAATAATAAAAAAAAAACAATGTGTGCGTGTGTGAGTGAGGTAGGAAGTAAGGATCATGGAGAGAGAGTGAAAGGAGATTTGAATTTAGTTCAATTTAGTCTTGATAGGACGAAGGTGATTCTAAATCAAGTAGTTCTTTGCAGAACTCCTGAATGGCTTTTTCGAAATCGTCTGATTCCGAAAATTGCGGAGAAAAAGGGGGTGGATTATTTAAGAGGACTGTGGATAATGACGAGAATGATCTCGGGGAAGAAGGCGGTTCGGGGGAATAAACTGGGGCAGTGCTCGGAGATAGTTGCCCTTTTCGGGCCGATTCCGTGGCTCACGCCTATTGCCCTCCACTCACCGCTCGTGCGTTAGCGACGAGTCGCCAGATACGCGTAACTAAGGAGCGCGACGTTTTGTCTCAGGAGCGTCCGTATATAAGAATGTCCAAATATAATAGTAAGACAATACTTTTCTAAATGCACGGCGAAAATTTTCAAAATTAAAAGTTTTTCTTCAATATTTTATATTTCATTGATATAAAATATTGAAGAAAAACTTTTATTTATAGAAAAGTATTGTCTTATTATTATATTTGGGCATTCTTATATACGGACGCTCCTGAGACAAAGCGTCGCGCTCCTTAGTTACACGTATCTGGCGACTCGTCGCTAACGCACGAGCGGTGAGTGGGGGGCAATAGGCATGAACCACGGAATCGGCCCGAAAAGGCAACTATCTCCGAGTACTGCCCTAGATGAAAGAAACCCTGTCCGGTAGCAGAGAGAAACCTGAGAGGGGCCACGCCGCCGTTTTTCCTGTAACGCATTACCATTTTGCGATATTCGTAATAATGATTAAGAAATTAATTTAAAAAAATGGGCCAATCCATGCCTTGCACAAGCGCGCGGCGAGAAGAAACTTCCTACTCAGGCGTTGCTAG